TCTTTCTTTCTTTTCTCAATTCCCACCTCCCTACCTCAGCCCGGTTCAACCTGTCAGGCTGGCCCTGACGGGGGGTGTGCAGGAGGCGGCTGATTAATGTTTCTCTCTCGTGGATCTTTCCAACACTCTATCCCTCTCCCTTCCTCTCTGTAAAAAATCAATAAAATATATTTTTTTTTAAAAATTCCACCCCCAGCCAGTCCTGGAGGTCACGTGGATTCCCCAGGAAATGGTGCTGTGTTTTAAATGGGGAGAACCTTCAGCAATACAAGCCTTTCCAGAAGGCTTGGTCTCCACATGATACCACCTTGGGGGGATGAATTGCAGGTGGTCTCCCGCCTCGAGTTTGGCCTGTGCAGAGAAAACCCTTGCTCCTCAAGTGAGGTGATGGACTGCAGACTCTGGGACAATATACTATGGGATGTGAGGTGGAGGAGTCAGAGAGGTTGGGACCTGGAACAGGATTGGTGAGAGGGTTTCCTGCAAATGGGGGAGTGTGTGTGTGTGTGTGTGTGTGTGTGTGTGTTCCCCTCAGGGTATTGCCCCTGTCTACAGTATGACCCTAGACATAAGCCGGGCCCCTGAGTGCCCCGCTGAGGCTGGGGGTGTTCTGTACCTGTGTGTTTCTGTGCTTGTGTTTTCTGTGTGTTTCTGAGTCTGGGCACCCCAACAACAGGCAATCTCCAGAGAGGCGGTGTAGTGGGCCACATGTGCTTCTTCTGCAACTCCAAGTGAGCCCCTTCTGCTGCTGCTCTTCCAGGCCTCTGGTTTCCCCCTGGAGGTCCCGTCACAGGCACCAGGGATGGATGAAGAAAAGGGTCAGTTCATAGAACCCCAGCCTGTGGGAAGGGGAGGAATTGGGGAAGATTCTGATGGCAGACTGGAGTTAGAGAGTGTGCATGGGGAATGTTTGTGAAGGACACTAGGCTTCGTGGAGGAGCTGGGGATCCAGGTCCCTTGGGAAGGAATGAGTGGGTGGGTGCATGTGGGGGGAGCTGAGGGGAAAGACTTCTAGGCCCCTAACCCCCCACTAGGAATGAGCAAGTGGATGTCCCTGGAGAGGGGTGTCCCTTGCCCATGTGAAAGCGACACTGACCCCTCAGGGAGGAAGGTGCCTGAGTCTACTCAGTGCATCACTTCCGGACCCCTGGGTCCTGGTCCACTGAGGGTGCATGGCCACCCGGGACACAGGGGCCAGGAGGGAGAATTAGGCCCAGTGATCGCTGCACTTGTGGAT